TTGTTAATTGATTTTTACGCACACGCCAACTTTTTCAGACAATAATCGTCTTTCTTACTACAATTTAAAGAAAGATCTTTTCTCAATTGTACTGAAAATTAACGTAATATGTTAAGTAGAAGAAAAAACAATGATCCCATGAATAATTGATATGTCGTTTTTTGACTTTGGACAAGCAGACAACTGAAAGAGAATCGTCCTACCGCACACGAAAAGAGTTTTTCGCAACATTGTTTCGCATCGTCTATTTTGTCTGTTTGCGTGAGCGTCGTTTAGTTCTTTTTTCCGTCTTTCTCAAGTGATGTGACGAGTGGCTCCAAGGCACGTCGACGCCGCGAGCCTGTCAGCGGTTCGGGCGTATAATAAGGTGGCGAAGTCACTCGTTCTCGACGTCGACGTCTGCCAGTGGAACGCGACGAGCGGAAGAGAGCCGACAGTCGTCACTGCCTGGCGCTAGCATTGAAAACTTTTTCCCCTTTATTATGCATCTAAACGCATGTTGTTATTGTCATTCTTCACCTGTGCAATTCTTGTACTTACCCGCTTACCGAAAACAAAATCCAATCAATGATGCCACTTTTTGTCGATATTTTTTCAGTGCATATACTTTTCTTCCAAATATCAGTTCAAACATATTTTGCATAAGTGTATAATCTTACAGAAGTTTCATTCATACTACAACTCGCAAGACTAACTTACTTTCACCAATCAATTAATAGATATTTACGTTAGATTATTTTTTTTGAAATTAATAAATAAATAATTAAACATGGGCATATTGTCATCAAGCTTTTTCGACAAACAACGCCGACCATTTCAGTCTCACGCATTAACCAGTTTTCAGTATATATAGGTACATAGAGAGTACGCGAGCTGGTCTACTCGTTTCGTTCGACGTGCAGCCCCGACTAGCAGTCGAGGAATTCGAGTTGCTATAAATCTCCCTTGACGGGCACGATGCCGGGGGTGGTGGTGGCTAAGTCCTATAGCTTCCTCACCACGCCGCGAGCTCTCGAGGAATTGTAATAGTTTCGCGCCTGGTGAGGTTAACGCTTATGTTGCCAGCCTCCCCCTTCCTCCTTCCTTTTCTCTATGCCACGAAGTAGCACATACGTAGCCGTGAAAAGGACGAACGCAACGAAACAAGAATAATTGAAAGAGTGGGAGGATCACTATGGAGAAGTTTTCGCCAAAAGTGTGATTATAGTGGTTGAACGTTTTTGTAGCGAACTTTCAATTGTAATAAATATTGTTATGCGGAAGAACGATTTCATTCGTGGCACAATAATGTGACATTACTCAATAGTATGTTATCCAGGTGAGCTCAGTTTTATGACAGAAAGTAAATTAAAATAAACTCTTTTGTAAAAACCGATTCTATTTTATATAATGTCAATCCACAAAATTAATATTTTTTGCACGTCCTAATGTGTATTTGAGATCAAATTATAAAATTCTTTTTTTTTCATTTATACTAAATAATATACGATATAAATGTGTTAAATATCAGAATAAGTCGCATGCGAAAAGAATTATGAGATTTATTGTTGTGATATAAATTGAAATTTATTATAAAAATGTATTGAACTTTTATCGTTGTTATTATTTAAAGACCAGCGGCTGACTTAAAAACTATTTACAACCTGTTTAATTTTAGAACCTTACTATGTTATAATTTATTCATCAATATAATCTGTAAAAAAATAAATAAAAGTGAATGATTAATAAAAGAAGAATTGTAAATTATCTCGACACTTTATCATCAAAATAAATTCGTTCAAAAGGAACGGGATCATCAAACCAAAATAAATGATTTTTAAATGGAATGAGAGAATCGATTTACACCATCCGAGTTGCTCCCGTATACCATTTTACCCGGCAACACAGACGATGATTAAATTGTCCCTTCGAAGCAAAAGGAAAAAAAAACTACAAAAAGCAGTGAGGAGCAAGCTCTCTTCTGTTCTCTCTCATTCTCTGTCTTTCTTCTGTCCGAGACAGAAATCGTGCGAATGAAGAAAAGAGTACGGTTTATCAATCACACAAGGTCTACATTTAGTGACAGGCGGAGATTCGGCAGCAATCGTAAGCAATGGGGTGCGTCATTGTTGAAGTATATACTTTATTTATCATTGTTGAGATTATTGTGCGATTTTAATTTTGTCTTTAGAGACACTCGTGCTTGTAAATATTATTTATTGAAGCATACGTTGTTTTGTGAGGTGAAATTCATTATATAATCGATAAGTTTACCTCTTGTCGGCGTTGAGGTCTAAAGCTGAACGATCTTTGATTTAATATCGCATACTATAGTGTTTGGGACCTTTTATACATGGAACGTTACTTTCGTACAATGGATTTATTATGCAAAACAATATCGCTATTACTTATAATTTCTGTTTTAATAAAACATTACACATGTTAACCAAAACAGTTTATGGTTTATTTCTCCATCGAATATTATAATATTTTTTAATGAATAGAAACAAATGCTTATTAACCTTAAGGGCAAAAATAATGTCGAAATCCTGAGTAGATTTACTTTTAGTTCAACTGTTCCAAGAATGCCCGTATCTCATCTTCGCAGTTTTTCAGGTCAACTAACTCGCTAGCGAGCATCTTCCACTCTCGGCCGCGGGAAATCGTGTTGAATAAGCCATAAACATGACGTACGCCCGCGTTTTGCGCGCCGAAACAAGGAAGAGCAGAGGATTCGAATAGACAGCGGACCTCGACGTCATCTTCAATGAAATGATATAACTGTTTCCTCTCACAGCGGTGATCCTGGAAATGCTTACCCCAAAGGGATACGTGTGCCAAGACTAAAACTCACGCGATCTGACGTATACTTCTAGTTGCCTTGATGCCTTTTTTTCTCTTTACTTTCGCTTTGCACACTTTGCGCCTTTTCCAGACCGGGGAGAAAACCATTATGGCTGTGCAGAAGGGGATACATCGTGCGGGCGTTAATATACGCCATAAAATGTCGCTTTTGCAGCAAATGCGTTTCTGGTGGTTTATTTTGCGATGGGTAATCCTAGTTTTTCATGTTATTGATAGTCTTTATTTTTCAAATTCGTTCCTTCAAAAGTTTCAATCCAACATTTAACGTTCGAAAAATCACATGAAAAATTGATACAAAGTTGTTTCTTCATCATAACTAATATTTTTTCAATGCGGATATTATCACTTTAAAAATCATATCCTATATTCAGTTTTGATATTTAAAGACTGAAAATAATTTGAAATTTACGATTATTTTTTATCAGCTGAATGTATATATAATTATTATTATTATTAGCAAATATCTTATAGTAATATGGTTTTTAACATGTACGTTTAAGTGAAGCTTTAGTTTTCAAGTCATTTTCACCTAAAGTTTACTTCAGTTGATCTGTTCTACCTTACTACCATTATGCTTGCAAGCTTATCACAACCAGTGCTTTGTTCGCTTATGTGCGCTTTCCTTCAGTTGCAAACTACATTGAATAATTCGAAATTCTCTCTGATGTCTTTTGGGGTTAGCCTCTGCAATGTCTGTTTACCTAACTCGACTTTGTCTCGTTTACCGTCCTTCAATGTACTATTCTTTAGTGTACTATCTATCTTTCGAAGGTAGTATAGTTAAAGTACTAGCTTAATCTTAGATAAATTATTAGCTTTAAGTTCCATTGTTAAGTATGCTGCTGTTACGTTTCGCTTATCATTTACGTTTAAAAATGTTAATCTGCCATTTTTAGCACCATTACTACTCTATATTTATGCGGCTTGTGTCCAAGTATTTTATTCTTTACACTGTATCATCATTGTTAAAAACAATTTAATCGTAATTTTACCTCATCAATCTAATAAATTTTACGTCAACCATACCATCTACTAAGAGTAATACTGACTTATATGCTAAACATATTAAATGTCCAAAACAAGATTGTACTCCGCCATCTGTGGCATTTCTTTGAACTTGGTTCTCGTGCTAAGATAAACTGCAAAACTTAATGTATTTGAAAAAAGTTCGCTACCGTTTCATTATCGACAAGACAAACGGTAATCTGGAAAAGCTTAGTCATTAACTTACTAGATGGCGCGATACTCGTTAGGCGGCCATCATGAAACTACCAAAGAGAAGGGGAAATTGCTAGTTTGAGTAGAACGCGCCGAAGCGCCATGCCAACGAGGGAGGGACTCTCCGGATACGTATCACGGTTAGTTGGAGGTGGAGCCCACACCGGCTTACCTTTCCACGATACTCGCTCCATCTGTGAATTGACTTTGCCGATCTCGACTTTGTCGTCGATCTTCAGCTCTGTTTATCGACTAGCAGTAAGATTACCTTGCGCTGTTAAATAATTTTAGTTTTTCATCTAGTTTAATTAGTTTTGTCTTTTTTTGACATTTCCTTTGCAATCTAATTGTACACATCACTTTTAAGAAACACAATATGATAGTGCCACTTGTTTCGTGAATCACTGTTGATTTATTTGCTGGACTGGCAAAATACCAGAAAAATTAGTGATAAAATACCTTGGTGAAATAAACTTCAATCGACGGTAAGTAAAGAAAATTATCTCGTCAACTATATGTTGTATCAATAATTACCATGCACTTTACGTATAAATTGTTCCCATACTTGCGCCAACTGTAAATTTTCGAGTTGAAAGAATGATTTGAAATAACATTTTGTTTGGAGCAGAAAATACTTAATTTATAATAATAATTTTTAACAATCTCTCAGTTATAATTAATCTAGATATTTCGGGCTCAAAACTTTAGTTATGTCTGATTTTTAACGTAATGATTTTGCCCACGAAAAAAATTACAAAACCATACGGTTACAGTTTTGAAATAATCAACTACAAACTCGTAGCGCTACCATCACCAACAAACGCTCCAAAATTGCGTTTCGCTCGCTACTCAATCGACCATCGGAAATAGTGTGTCTACCACCCCTCGTTACAGCCGTTACACACGAAACTGTTTGCTGCTGGAATTTAGTGCGGTGGGCAGCGTGGCGCGACAGGCAAACGCGGATCATCAGTTGACTTTGAACGACGCCTTGCCGCGCTTGTGCCCGTCTGGGAGTGAATATTACGTGCGTGTTACGCATCTCTCGGTCTCTCCCTCCGAGACCATTAGCAAATAGTGTTGATCGCAAGTAAAACAACGCTGACTCGAGTGTTTGACGATGACGTGGCAATACCGACCATACAGTGCCTCACTGCTGCGTCGCTGACTTTCTTTAATCTTATACAAAACGGCACTGTGGCTTTCAAGTTCAAGGTTACGTCGCTGGAAAAATTGAAGACAGCTACGTTGAGTTACAACAGGTACCTTGTGTTATCCTATGGCTCTATCGCAAGTCTTCTTCATTCATGATTTCAAACGCTGAATTTTGGATGAGTGACGGAAAGCCACGTTCAAGTAGCTTCTTTTAGTACTTATCGTCCTACTCATTTAACTTTCTTTCTCGGCAACAGAATTAAAATGTAAAGCTTGATAAGGGTATTCGGCGATAAGAGAAGCAAAACACCTTCAACAACCAAACTTATCCTAAAACAAAAAGAAGCAGCTTCGTAGAGATATAAAGTTTTCATCGGAGTCTGTTTTTTTCTCTCGTGTGCAAACTTCGCCCCTTCGACCACCGACATAAAAACGCAAAGTAGATTTTCGCAAGAATGTTTGCCTACACATGTAAATATAATCTGTGCTCCTCGCAAACTGATAAACTTGTAATTTCTGTTTGTTCGCAGATATAATATCCTTCGCACATTCGAATTAAGGTAAAGTGTAGCTAGAATGGCTTTCACTATGCGAGAGACAGAGAGCAAAAGCGAGACGCAGCGAGTATATATAGTACGCAGAACGAGGGAGACAGCAAGAGAGAGAATGGTTCTTCCCGTTTCGGGCTTGGCATGGTCTGGTAGTAGTGGTGGTGGTAACTGTCACCGATGATAATTTATGTTAATGGCAGTTTACACCGGTGCGCGCAGAGAGCTAGCTCGGCCTGCTCCGCGTATATACCGGAGCAAGCAAAGAGAGCTCTGCCGAGGCAGCAGCCAACAGCCAGCCAGTCTGCAGGTCGTCGCGACGCCGAGCGCATCGCTGCTCTTTCGCCCTCTCGCTCTCTCTCTCTCTCTCTCTCTCTCTCGCCCTTCTGATAGAGAAAAAAAACGCACAGCCCGTGAGAGCAGAGAGAGAGAGAGAGAGATCCCTAGCGGCGACGCCCAACCCAGCGCAGACGCACCACTGCACCTGTATTCGCACACCAGTAATACATGGCCCGGATTTTCGGGATCCGACCCGTACAGTCGCCGACACCCGTTGAATGTCGCGCGCGCGCGCGCGCCGCCACCGACACCAAACATCATCATCTCGCTCTCTCTCTTTCTCTCTCTCTCTTTCGCTCTTCGACGTTGTACAACAACGAAAGTGTAAGTATTGATCTTCCACTGGATATGTATATATATTGGCCTGTTTACGAGTGTCGAGGAAATGCGTGAATGGATCTTTTTTACGAGGCTTACACACTCCACTAAAAGCTCACAGTGAAAGTGAAATTCGCGGCTCTCGCTCTCGGCTCAAACTGACACATGTTAGATGTACGATGTATGTTTATACACATAGCATGTTTGTGAGACAGTCATCTGCCCCCCCCCCCCTGCACGATTATCAAATTTGATTTAAAGATGGCGCGACTGATGGCCTGTTAAAATCTTATACTGTTAAAGTGCATTAAGTGCATGCATGCTGAATGAGATACCAAGATATTACGAATTAAGAGGTAGGATAATGTCATAAATGTTTTTTTAAACGCATTTAAATAGCTAATGAATTTTTAACCACCTATCTTGTTTAATCATTATTAGCGAAATGAATACATAAATTACTCTATTTGTTAAATAAATTTGTTTGATCAACTTTATGCAACTATTACTGAATTTTAAAATTATAACGAAATCGATAAAAGTGTAGAAATACCGATAAAATTATGTGCAGCATATCGTACGCTAAATTTCCAAAAGGTAAAATATATGGAAGGGCAATTTAAAATAGAAATTGCGTGTAGAGATAGCACGTAGTACACAGTATATATGTACGGATTCGTAATGGCTGCGCGATTCAAGCTAGCAATCGCGAGATGAAATTCAGGGGTGGCTCCAATATATATGCACGCTCTCTGCCTCGCAATAGCTGAAGCGGCAGCGGCGGCCCCCTCGAGGGTCACGAATATCTGGGGCGTTCATGAGCATGCGCAATAGTAACTATCCGGCGCTCCCATGATCTTTCGCTTTCCGCTGTACTACTGCTACCACGGCTAGTCTGTTGACGCGCGGGCTGTAACGTGTAATTAAAAAATTCCATGCTCGGTTTATCTCGGCCGTATACCTACAAGCTCTTGCAATGTATAACGTCGCACAGTCGTCTTAGGAATTTTCATTTATACGAGTTTGCAAATTTATTTTGGTAAAAGCACGCGGCACCGTAAAAATGGACAAAACGACAATTGCTTGCTGTCAGGCGCTAATAAAAAAAAGTGTGGGCTTGAAATTCGGTCGCAAGCTGAAGCTTGAGCCTGAATTTCTATTAAGAATTTAGCCCGATGGCGGGGACGATTATAAACGGTCGTCGGCGCGCTTTCGATTATGTGTCTTCACATAGATTTAGGAGAGTAGTATAGTTCACGCTCTCCTCGCGTCCAAAAACCGGCCAGCAGTATAGCAGAGGGAGTCCCAATCAAGGCCGCGCTCTCCGCCCGCATTCTCGAGTCCGCTATCCCCCTTAAACCTACCGCCGCGCCGCCGGCGACGGACTTCTAGTCTTCTTCGCGGGCAAACAAAAACCCAATTTTTTTTCTCGTTCGCTTGTGGCGCTTGATCTATGGCTAGCGCGGACGTTACCTTCTATTCTTCGGTTACACTGCCGCTGATTTTTAGTTTTCGAACAAAAACGCTGTGGAATGAATTTCGTGTATATGGTCCAGATATTTCCGTGAGATGGAACAATGAAACCTGGATATCGGAATTAATTTTCACCATCTGCATTTGTTCGAGTAATGATCGTTTTCAAAAATCAGGAATAAGATTAATTCTACGAACCCAAAAGTCGAATTAAATTATTGATCATGTCTATATATGAACAGTCGGAATTAATTCCATTGCGAAATCTTATCGAACATTTTTCAAAGTATATAAATTAGAGCGATGCGGACACAGTCACGGAGATCACAGTAACATAAATCAACATCTAAAAGTGGAATAGTATAATTGCAAGTACGAATATCGTTAGCACGGGCGCATGATAAAAGTCATCCATCAAAAAGACAATTTCTTCGCAGCAATTTAACTTTCACAACGTTACAACTCCATATTACGACAATTCTCGAAAACTCGTTCTCACAGTTAATGAAAAAGACATTCGGTCATTTTGTGTTGTTCAGGTAGAACAATCGTGTAGTTAATCGACGGTGGCGATGAAGTTTAGTAGACGCAGGGTATATGATCGATGCCCGTGCTTCCTCGCCGTTAAACATACAACAGGCGACGCTTTGCGCACAGGTACAGACTAGACGGAAATTGAATTCTAATTTATCGCTCGACGACGTCAGGGAAGCAAAATCCAGGGTTCTGCTTGCGCGCGCGGCATCGATCTTTTGCTCTGCGCCGGCGCGAAATTGACATCATATTCTCACCAAACCACTGACAACTGTCTCTTTATTTTGTTTCTGGTTGAAAGGCAACAAGTGACATCGAAGAAGAACCACAAATTTTACATATACTGCTATGTGTTTCAGAGCGCGGGTTAATATGTGTGCCGAATCGTTCATATTCACGCTTCGCTCGTCACCACTCGTGAACGAGCATCGCGATTGCGCTGTCACTGCAACAATTACACTGCTTGCTTATGACTGCCGCGCTTGCCTGTGTACTTGCTTGACTGCGTATTTACAAGCATCGTTACACTGCGCGCGTTCAATCGCAAAAAGTTAGTCGGCTTTTTTTGTAATGTTGACGTGCTCATTACCATTATGATCGCAGGAATAATTACGCTGTTACGTTTTAGTTGGTATCTCGGTAAATGAGATTTCTTTGTTCAGTGGAAAATTCACAATAATACAGAGCTTTTTAAATAGCTAGCAATCTCGTTGACAGATAACGTACAAGTGTCAAGATGAAAAAAAGCACCACGGACATAAACTAAATTTACGCGCATTATCGCGAACAGCAAAAAATGAGGCAAATATTACGCTGGAAATGAATATCAAGTACACACGCGCGGAAGTGTTTTCGAAAGCATGGGACTCCAATTGAAGACATGAAAGATGCATAGTCGAGCGTTAAGATAAGAGACAGCTATTTGGGAAGAAAAAGAGAGACGATGAATCGATTTACTTTTTTTGCCTTTGTGGGGCCATAAAGGAAAACTGAGCTAATTAAATCACATAATCGTACACTTGCACGTTTCAATGGTTTGGTAAAAGATTTTTGGAGACGTGGAAGTATAGGTTCTTCATTGTACTACATCCGAGAGAGAAAGAGAGAGCGAATGAGGCGGGAGGATAGCCGAGTTGGCGTCATGCCAGGTAACCGACCCTGTCGTTAAAGCTTCGCCGCGAATTCGTGCACTCTCAGCGTGTCTGACCTTGAAGCCCATCCCAAATTTTCTCTATTCGGGCTTCTCTTTTTCTTTTCACGTCGAAATTGACTATACCTGGAAATTGGTTTTTGGTTGTCAGTTACCAAGTGTATAGGATGAAATTCTTTAAACATTGTTGGAAAATTTCCTGTGGTCAGTTCCTCATGGAAATATGTAGAGTCATTCAACGAAACCGAGCTTGTGCCAAACAGATTGAGGTATAATCCTAGAGAGCTTGGATAAACTAAAAGTTCGTTACGCGTGCGAGGAAAGAGAAACAAAAAAAGAGCAACACGAAACAGACCAACTACTGACTGTTTTACTTACACTCTCTTGTGTGGCTCTCATTTCAGAGTCACATAAAACGGCGGCAGCGCGGAGAGTCGACGACGAGGGGCGCCACAGGGAGAGAAGAGGACGTCGAACGTAGGGAGCTGCTGCTGCGAGAGAAACAGAGAGAAAAGATATGCCGGCTGGCGAGCAGATGGTTGCTCCGTTTATTGGTTTATTCGCTGGCGGCGGCTCGGCCCACGAGCTCTCTCTCTCTCTCTCTCTCTCTCTCCGTTCCCCTTAGTGCTGTTGCTGTTGAACGGGAGTGCCGCCGCTGTCGTCCGGCACCTTTTTTTAATGTCGAGAGAGAGAGAGAGAGAGGCCCCCAGGCTAAGGTACGTACAGAGTAAGTCAATAAAATGCTAAGTTCCGGGTGGATCATTTCCACTTTATACGTGATATTTCTACCTTTTCCTTTGATTGTGTGTGTCTGTCGTCGGTGAAATCTAGTTAACCCGATACCTGCAAACACTCGCCGACGATGCTGTAAATGTTGATTGCTTGCTTGTATCCACTGCCGCTGTAAAGACACTACTAGCGTTGTTCATTCCTTGTCGATCATGCGAATTGTACGTGTCTGCGAGCTTTCTGCTTTGAATTCAAGCAGAAAATAGTCTGTTTATTCTGCGCATGCGCTAACTTATAATGAAAGATAATGATCTTCCAAAATTCTATATTAAAAAGTATTTTTCTAAAAAGCTCATAAATATAATTTATTGTTTTTATTGAGTATACTTTCTCAACAACGTCAATCTTTTTCAACATTTGGTAAATTTGACATGCACATTACAATAATTTTAATACTCAAACTTAAAATTCTCTGTTTGATAGTGAAAATAAAAAATTAGAAATATGTTCTCTTTGGAATTCTAAACAAAAGTGATTTATATTGATACCAACCGTGTGAGAGTTAAATTACGGGAATTTTCTGATGTTAATTCTAGCTTTTGAATTTACAAAAATCTAAACTGTGATAGATCTAATCAAGAGAATGCAAATGCACGCTATTAATAACTATTTAAAACTGTAACGCTATACATCCAACATATATTTATCTACATTGTTCTTCGATATATATCTTAACTACTGGAGTACTTTCAAATTAGTGGAATAATTTATTTTCTAGTCTTGAACATGCAATTTCGGAATTTATTAGCCATGGAATATTTAATGTGAACGGTAGTATGTAAATTTCGCGACAAAATAAAAGCGATCTATAATTACACGGGAAAAAGAGCATGATTCATTTGATTTAGCGGATCAAATTCATCAAATACCCGAAAATGATAATTTCACTTAAAACGCAAAATATTCATGATTTAAAATATTGATACAGTCGTAATACCAACATAAGACGTTTCGAGAGCATGTGGTTTAAATAAGTAACATCCTATCATTACCGTTAATTCCGAATAGTGCAGACGCAAATGTTTCTTAAGACGCGAGTTAAGCCAGAAGGTAAAAAATGAGAAGTAAAGCGAGCGAAGAAAAATAACTCTTGGCTGGTGTGTCAGAGCATATTACTGATGGAACTTTGATTTTCAGGAGCAGACGAGTGAACGAGACCGAGTCGCGCGATCACAACTGCACACGTAGACTCAGACAGGAGAGAGCTGGGAAGAGAGCAATGTCTGGCACAGTCCATACACGCGCGAGAGGAGAGGAGAAGATATTCGTCGAGGGCGCGATGAAAGCTGGTGGATGAGATGGCACACATAGACGCGCGCACAGGTACGCTGGCAGCACGATGGCGTCGTGGGCGTTATACGTCGGACGGCGGTGGCGACGGGTCGATATAGAGAAACGTTGCCCCTCCCCGCGGCTACGAGCCTCCTCTGCAACCCTTCGCTACAAAATCTCGCACGCGCAGACAGGCGAAACCCGTTGCGTGTATCATACAGCCTGAGAAGATTATCCCTCCGCGAGGGCGCCGCAGATTAGAAAGCCATCCGAGAAAGTCAAGCGTGTAGCGACTAATTTGTCGACTTGGGCGTTCGGCCAAGGGGCAATCCTTGCCGGAATGAGAGGAACGAGAGGATAATCTCTTCGTCTCTGCTACTGCCTTCTATTTCTCCCAGCATGCTCAGTTGGTAAAGTCAATATTTGGCGTACAAGTCAGAGCCGCGGATTAAGATACCCCGATGAAAGGAATGCCGGTAGGTAAGCGATCTGTAAGCACGCGGATAATCGCTTCACTTCTTGACACTAAGCTGTTCGCGACGAGTCGCGTGTGTTGTTCTTTCCCTTTCTTCTGCTAGACAATGGACATTTATCAAATTAGCATGCTAATGATCTGTCAGCATAGCGTGATTTGGGAAAATTGGAAAACTAGGATTGCTTTCGAGAAGACAAGACAGCGCTCCGTAGTGTCTATGATGAATTGTAGAAAGAAAAAAGGATTATCATTATGCTTTTTTTACCGGAAATTACTTTACTCCAACGTAAATAGTGGCTGGCGTGCGATTTATTTTCGGAATATTGCTAATGTCACTGCCACGTAATTTTTAAGCTCAAGTCCCGGCCCTCTTCTGACATTATTGATTGATTTACCTATTACTAAAGTCCAAATATTCAACATCATTAAGTAAACCTTGCACAGATTATTGTTTTAGTCCTGTTCGATGACTAAGTAAACATGATCGACCTAGCGGTAATACTAAATAACATAACGCAAATACTAAGAATCACATTATATAATTTAATTGTACAACGTCAAAATTTTATATATAAATGTAGATATAATTAACTAACATCAAATTGATTTACATAACAGAATTAATATTTTAATAGCCTTTAAAATTGTTGACGTTAATGCTCATTTGGTATTCTTTAGCGTTGCTCGGCCTAACAAAAACCTTCAATTTTCATCAACTCACAATATTTATTTTTATACAAGCTGATGATGTGGATACATAAATATGTTACTAGATCAACAAAAACGTAAATTTTTGAAAAATGTAAGCTTATGAAAAGTTTTTCGCCAAATATTATGGAATAATAAGCATTTTTGTAGTTATTTAAAATATTTCTTTGAATTCAAGATGGAAGTGATTTGTTACGTACGAATGTACTGTAAGCGTTAAAGAATAGGAGTACGAAATTAACTGTCAATAGTTTCAAAAAGTAGACAACGTTTAAGTAAAAGTTATCTTCATTTTATTTCTAGGAAATATAATGTGGAAAATTTTAGAGTGGAGTGGAAATACATTAAGTAAATCAAATGCGCTATGCATATCAAGCAACTAATGTAACTATGATTTTCAGGTTGGCAAGACAGCGGTAGCGTCACATTGGCCTAGTAGAAGTGTATCATCTCGTAACCGCCTCACTTCGTGCGTTGCATAGCTGGCAAGAAAAGTAGCGTGCAGAAAAGGACCTGTACCGTTTATAACAAGATGAAGGTGCATCGCAGACCAGCCAGAGAAAGATTGGCTGTGTCATCCTCGGCCCGTTAACGTCAGTCCTCTCAAGGCGGTCCCTTCGCCGCACGCGCCCTATCAATCAATATCGACCAAGCAGGTGTAAGCCAATCACTGCCATTGTGTCGGACAAATTATTTTTTTTATTCTTTCTTTGTCGTCGTTGTACGCGTGCCATTGTATATTTTGTAAGCGATAAGCAAGCTCTTATTAATGTTTTGACAGAGAAAGTTTGTCTATATAAGATGTGCATTAGTCTTTCTACTTTTCCATGTGAGAGATGCAGTTTTAAAGAGGTCACTCCATCGGCTTGCTATACGTCAGTGTAATTGATCGTTGATTCTTTTTTTATCTGTTGCTAATTAGTTATCGTGATGGATAGACTGATTGAATCGACGTATGTTTAAATCCTTGACGAAGGCATCGAATACTTTTTCAGTATTTTTAAATGTATTACACGGAAATTTCTCCTTTGAAAGCCGACTGTATAGAATGAAGATTTTTTTCATCCCAACCATATTAGTTTTTTAATGAAACCTCGTCAATATAATATAATAAAGTATAACATAAAAAAATAAATTATAATTATAGATTGACAAAATTGTATTTCGAAAAATATGTCAGCTATTTTTTCAGTTTTCATTAATGTTCTTTAAAAATGTAATCTGCCTTACCGACACTACTTTCACTTGCATTACAAAAATTTAAACTTCTTTGTTCATAAGTAAATACGGTTATTCGAGAAGATTTATTAGTGTTGAAGACTTAAATTGAGTTGTACATTATTTGATGGAATTTCACTCACAGATTCAAAAACTAAGGAAAGGAGAAAATGATTTTCAAATTCGTTTGAAATGACGCTAGTCATTCCGAGTGTAGTCTAGATAAATGAAAATGTTGCTTTGGAGCCTTGACTTTCTTTGATTAGGATCGCTCGTATGCTTGTGGTGTCTCGTGAGAATTAGCAAAAAGTCCGTCGGTTTAACATGAAAAAGCCGTCCGTATCTGCATTATACACACGATTGCGGTGCTTCAACGTACGGATGACTTGGCGTTAAAAAGTTCAGCCGATTCCCGAATGACTATGCGGCTTTATGGCATAGGAGACAGAAAAAAATTGCAGACACGTAGTGACGACATCGTTGTTTACTGTCGACTAATTTTGTATGTGAATTTAATTCAAACGCTTATGTCTTCACCCGACATTGTACTTGTGTAAAGTAGAAAAATACGTGGTTTTTTTTATCTCTCATTTCCTTTACTTTTTCAGAGAAGCATCTTACAACTGAGATGGAGTGGAATCACGTTGTTGATACTGGGCCGATAGAAGATTGGAATACTTCAAGCGTCTTAGTTGGCGCTAGGGATATTAGCGCATTTGGCGTTGGAAGTTACGAAGATTTTTAAAAGGCCCAGTTAATGCTCTACATCTACCCTGTAGATCCGAATTTGTTTGAAGTCAGGCGACAAATTCGGTTCTAGAGAGGTTTGTGTGGTGCATACAATGCTACATGGTCTGAATAATTTAGTAATTTTTGTAATAATTTTATTTTGTAAATACTGTATTGTCACGGGTTATATATTTCATAATCATATACCTGGTATCAGCGCATTATGTTACTAGTATTTTTATACATCATGTCAGGACGACACCCCTTTCATCAAGACATGGCGCGGTAGCGCATCCGATTGCCGCTTTCGACGAGGGCGCTACATATCGTCAGCCCGATTTACGCTGAAACTCAAGCCTTGTGCCGAAGGTTCGAGTAGATTTTCAGCCAGACCGAGAGATAAATTTACTCTCTTCTAAATTTATGCTTTGTGCGAGAATTAGGGAAATCAAGGGTATATATATATATATATATATACATGTACATATACGTGTACATATATAACGGCGCGCGCTTACTTATGGTTGGATTCTAGAATCATCCCAGATTTTAATCGCGATCACGATCAAACTATCAAACCGCACGACTAGTCTTATTGTACTTCAACTCACGATTATTTCTTGGTGTCACTGCTCAAGCAAGAGTAAAACACGCGACGCGTTAATTTAATTTACCCGGCGTGACAATAGCCAGTGATTATTGTTACAATAAGTAAAGCGCGATCTCTCTCTCTCTCTCTTATGGTTTTTTTGAAACTGTCATAAATCTACTTTTATCCGCTATCCATTTAGTTGATTATATTCCCGTCTTTACGATTATCTCAATTACGGAACGAATTCAGATACTAAACAACACCCGACTCGTGACAGTATCATAATTGAACATTTTTAAGTATGGTAAAATGTGTGCAATAAAAACTCATCCAATGTAACTCATTATTTTGTATCTTAACGTCAAAAAAGTCATACTTGCTCATTACGATAATCTCGATCTATTTTATAGACGATAACATTCTACAAAATATTTTCCATTATTAAACCCAAAAATCTAATTTTTATAACAAGCTTATTTCGTTGTCGTAGTTAAAATAACTTAAGAATAATTAATCTATCTACAGACATTCATATACCAATCTCTTATAATAACATTTGCTAAAGCTGAAGCCAATCCTTGTTCGTTCTTTCTTAGTTTATAATATAAAAAAAGTAACGATTAGTGATTTTATTTTATTAACCATATTTATTTCAACATATCATTATGATGATTATAACGATCGTTACGAGCTTGAATATTTTGAATTTTTGTGAAAAAATAAAAGGTAACACAGATCTACAAAATAAGGGGTTGTGATTGTTCAACCAACTAAGGATCACTTCCGAAGTAATTTTTTCCGTAGATTTTGAATCTGAAGTCAGTATTTGTCCATCATGTCAGGTTTTTTAGATATCCTAACCGAAAGAGCCGAAAAAGGTCGTTTTTTTCTATATATATCGTGAAATAATATCGTGAAAATTTTTTTTTCCAAAAACGGGAAGAACCATCTGAAAGGTCTATTTTTACGTTCTAAAATCCATTTTTAAGACTTAAGATACCTTATTTATCATTATATAAGTCAACTTTTAACATTTGTGATCTATATATACATGCATAACAGTTATCGGATGCAATTGCACAACTTTATTATTCATTGTCTTATCTTACTATAATCTTATATTGACAAAAAATGAAGGTTGCAATAAAACCTCGAAATAGATCAACTTTTATCTCGAGGCTTTCTTGAAAAGATAATTATGCAGATTAAAAGGTTATAAAAAATTACGTATGGACTAAGTTTAATTTTTCACGTGATTTATAAACATCAATCTAATATATGCCTTATAAACTTATTTAGTATTTATAAATATTCGGTCAAAGCCAATCCTGCAAAGAAATGCGCGAATTCGGCGCAGATTTTTCCAAATTTTCTGATCAAGTACATCTTTCTGATTTTTCGATTTTATTTGAGATTTTATCAATCTATTTTAATCATGGAACTTATAAATATTTATGCTTTTCACTCCGCATTCTTGTATACTCTTATTTTGTCTTTGGAAATAGTATCGGTTAAAAAAAGTTACAGTTACAAATTTTTATTGCTTTTCTTTAATTTAACAAAAACTACAAATGTATTTTTAATCATTCACCTTACTTTCAATTTCGATTACTCGAGTCAGAATATATCAAAAACTATATCTTGGTTAATTTTATTTTCATAATTTCAACTTTTGCAGAGCTTTAAAATCTGTATAACTCTACATAAAAACTCATTACTGTAATGAAACTGCAAAATATATATGCATTGTAACTGTAGAGATAGAAGTAATGAGCAAAATATCATTTAAATCACAGTTTCCAACAAGTATTTTTCGTTTTATATAAAATTCTAAAAAACTACAAGAAACTTATGTGTGATGTTCTTGTTTTTATCGATGTCAGCACTTTTATTAACAAATAATAGTGTCAGGAGCATGTGATGTGAAGAGTTATAATTTATATTCAGGCATGCAACACTTAGACATAGAATAATGAAATCGATTAACTGAAAGCATATATCCCTAATATTGGTGAGACGTGTATTTAAACATTCAATAAAAATGGAATCGAGTTAATACATTTTTCTTATAAGATTGACCTCATGATTCGATCAACAAGTGCGATAAAAATCTAGTAAATGTATAAATTTATGTAATAAATGAATAGCCGTTCGAAATATCAAAATTTCCGAACGGCATACAAAGAGTGAAATTTAAAAATGAGTGGATTTGAGAGCATACCAAGGTAATAAGATTTGTAACATATAATCTTTCTAATGATGAATTCTGTTGAAGGTACATTTCATTTGAAATAGGATTTTTATTACGGTACTCTACCTCCTTTGCTCTTCTTAAATGAACAAAAGAAGGCCATTAATCTTTGACTGAGCTTGAATAATAAAACAACATAAACATCTTCTCTGTTATGTAACAGGTGAACGCTAATGAAGTGCATACATTGGTGTACGTAATAATATCTCAAGCAGACTACGCACTTTTCACGCTCGCGGTTAATGGACACTCGCTCAGTAATGATGTGGAGTCGCAAAAAATTAAATAGATACACTTGTCAAATGCCACGCATTATACGAATCGCCTCGTTCGCTGTTCTTACAAATCGACTTTTATTTATCTGCTTGTATATATACATATATCACATCAGCATATTAATAAGTTCTGAGTTCTGAAAAAATGCAGAATCTACTAGAAATTCAATGTGTGCACACACGTTTATCGATGATACTTCTACCTCTAACAAAGCTTTAAGAATAATAAACTCGTTTACTCTGTTCTTGAAAAAAAAATTTAAACGTAACGTATATCTGCCAGAAAATAGGCAGCTAGAACAAAAAATCTCAAAAAAATATAAAAGAAAAGAACGTTCGCATAGCGGTATAGCGACCGAGGGAAAACTGTATATCTGGCGCATTTTTCTAGTTGCGCGAGATCCGATAGGTTTCTTGCGAGTCCGCGTCTAAATCCACATCTGAGTGCGAGAGAGAAAATACGGAAAGATTAATGATCCACGTGACAGGGGAAAGAGAGCGAAATAAGAGGGAAGAAAGCAGGTGGGGGAGGTTTTGAACTGTTTGCTGCTGCCGCTGCTGCTGCTGCCGCTGCCGCCGCCGCTGCCGCCACCGTTGCCGTTGCCTGCTCTGTCGACTCTCTGTTCTGAGGGGAGCTGCCACTTGCAGGAATATAACTTCGCGTTTCTCACAAAAATGCTATATGCCCGAAAAGCTCTCCACTCTCGTGCACGCGCCGCGCCTCGACGTAATACTTTTTCGCGCGACAGAGGATAAATAAAAAACGAATTACTTCGCTATGAATTCGGACAATGATTGAATGGCACGAGAAGTTTTCCGGAAGGGAACGCTTGAAGGATGACGAGGGAAAAAGATTTAATTACTTTTCAAATAGATTAGGGTTACTATTTAAGATGATGATTGCAGAATTCATGAGTCTGAAGTATTGCAATGTAAAGCTTTGTCGTGGCCGTAGCTGTAGGTATCAATCAGACATGTAATGATGCTTTGTTAAATGTATTTTTATAAATTATATGGATTTATTAGAGTAGTTTAGTAGATGAACCTTATTTC